CATTGTTTCTCAATGCAGATATTTGAGGCAAATTAAACTGAAGTTTTCCCTTGGCAAGCTTAATCTCTCAGATTTTTAGCTTTTCTATTGGGTAAAGCATCAAATAATTTTTTTTAACCAAATTTAAAACAAATTTTGTTAAAATATGCAGTCAAGAAGGATGAGCATGGCTTATGTGGTTTTAATACTTTATGTTTTTTTTCCCTATTGCACAATCTTAGGGCCTGTTTGGTATAGCAGTTTTGGGGCAGCTAAAACCGCTAAGTATAAGTATTTGGTAAATTTATATATTTTAAAACTGCTACAAACAAGGTGTTTGGTAAAAATTTTTATTTAGCGATTTGGGATTAGCGGATAGTGGTTAAGGTCCAAACCGCTAGCAGATTGGAATTTTTTAATTTTATTGACAAATTATCCATTTTTAATTTTTTAATTTTTTATCATAGTTTTTAATTAATATTTATCTAATAAGTTTCAATTTTGTTTTTTTTTTACCTTTAATAACATTAAGTTATTATAATATTTTTATTTTTTGCATTAATTTATCATTAAAAAATATATTATCTTAAAAACAAAATTTGGTAATTAGACAAAATGATTAATTTTTTTATTTAAAAATAATATAATTTTTTATTTGTTAAAAATAAAAATGAGGGTGTAATTATATTATTATAATTAATTTTATTTATTTATTTTCTTATTATTATTTTTATAAAATTAATAATTTAATAATAAAAATAAAAAATATTTTAAAAAACACACTTAATTCTTTTTAAACATGTCCTTATTAGTCATTTTATATTAAACAACAACCGCTAACTATTGTATAACCAAATAGTTATATTTATTGAATCTGCTATCTACTATCCATTATTTACTTTCTGTTATCTGTCATCTGCTATCCGTTATCTCATCTGCTATCCTTTATCTCATCTGCTATCCCTTATCCGCTACCGCTATTCGCTATCCGTTATCCACTATTTGCTATCCGTTAAATTTTAACCGCTATACCAAACAGGCCCTTGAGCCTATAGAAAAGTCAAATGTGGGCTTCCCTTTGACTTTTACCTCTTCTACAATTTGTGTAAATAAGGACATG